GGGGATCTATTTATTTTTTGTCTTCACAACAACAGAGCAAGATGCCAAGGTGATACAGAGCTTTAATGACACATCATCAAGGGTTTAAATTATTTTTTTGAATCCATTTTAAACAGAATCTTTGTGTCTCTTCACTGTTTCAGTGCAAGGAGAACCAGTTTGGTAGAGAGATGTACAAGCTGTCCATCTTCAACTTCCTCGCAACTTTCTTCAGTGTCTTTTTCTTTAACTACCCCAGGAAGTGGGTTTGATTGACATTAACAGTCTGTTTCTTTCTCAGTCATCTTTGTGGTTTGAATGGAAAGATCAGCAATGTCTCTCCTTAGTAGATGACAGGACAGATTCGATCTAAGCCATCTCCCTTATCTTTAACAGGTTGGTACAAGAGACGTATCCAAGATCCTCGCTGGCCCGAATATCAGGGAAACAGCGCTTCCTGATACCATTCAATGTGCTGGACCTTGTTTACAGTCAGACTGTATCCTGGGTGGGAGTCTATTACTGCCCTCTGCTGCCTGTCATAGGAATCGTTTCATTGGTTGTCACGTTCTACGTTAAAAAGGTTAGATTATTATAAACTCTTTATATTCCTCACTTTATTATTTTCTATCTGTAAATTGGTTAAATAAATCTGTAAAAGAAAAATCCCAGCTGTCTTGGGGAGAGAAGCAGGGTACGCCCTGGACGGGTCGCCAGTCTGTCGCAGGGCTAACACATAGACACAGGCAATTGATACAATTTAACACACATTTGGGAAGCTGTAACACAAAATGTTGCCCTTTCTTACAATAGTAAAGATCTTTAAAATAAATCCTTTCCACATCAGATCCAAAGGTTAATCGCTTTCCGGTCCAAGCCCCACATCTGGTAAAGTTTTTATGCAATTCCAGCCAGTGTTTTGAGTAACCCTACTAAAATAGCATCCTAAATCAGATTTTAAAAAAATATTGTTAAAGGATAGGCACAAATCAAGATGATCTTTAAGCAAACAAGAAGCATCAAACAGGTCAGCAGGGGGGAAAAAGCTTGAAGGAGATAGGTAAGATGTACTCAGGTGAGCTGAAATAAACAAAACCGTCTGGCAAATAAAATCTGAAGGAAAAACTGACTGATTTGGGGATAAAATAAGTGGAGTACATTAAGTAATGGCTATATAGAAGTCTGGTTTTAGTATAAAATGTGTTCAAACCTTTTTGCTCTGCCTCTGTGTCTTCAGTTCAATGTCATGCGGTGTTGTGTGCCAGAGCAGCGGATGTTTCGAGGGTCCAGCTCTTCAGTTTTGTTCCATTTCATGTTGCTGCTTGGTCTCTTCATGTGTGCAGCGACACTGGGCTTCAACCACTATCCGCTACAAAGCACTGAGGGCAGAAATGCGTAAGGTTTTCACTGCAGTTGCATCTAACACCGCCTGTCCTTCTTTCTTTTATTTTTAATTTGAAACCTTTTAGGATCAGAATTAAACCCATATTTATATTTTATCTTTATTTACTGCTCATTTCTCTCATTTGCATTACCTCTGCCATCCCAAGGTCCTCCTGCGGTCCATTTAGAAATGAACAAACAATGTTCACTGTGACTGGAGGCTGTGTGAAAAGTCTCCCCAGCCCAGCCCAGACCACTATCCGCTACCTGACTTCTGAGGCCTTCGCCCTACCACTAATACTAGCAGAGATGTAAGTATGCAAATAACCCCGCATCCAATACAAATATCAAACCTGTATTTGTAATGTTCACCTTTACCAGCTCATCCTCCTTTAAGATTGTTTAAACACTTTTCGTTTTGTCTCCTCAGCATATTGTTAACCTCGTATGTGTCTCGGAGACGAGCCAATCAGAGGGCCATTGAGAGACTGAAAGACATGCTAGTTATGGTAAGCACATGTCCAAAATCCTTCCAGTCCCTCCACCATATTGGCTGGTAAGTGGAAGCTGGTATGCTTCAGGCTAGTTACTTTAAAGCTCCTAAATAAGTGAATGGGTTAAGAGCCATAACTTTTAGGTATCTACATATACCTACAACTACATAAAATCTTTTCTACTGCACATGTGCAAAGTTACATGACAATATGGCTCATTACTAGCTAGGTCGAGAGCATCAAAGGCTCCTGAACGACTGCCATTCAAGCATTTCTTTAAATATGTTTAAAAATTTGCATATATGTGTTTCCCCAACAGAGCAGCTCTGATAAGCGTTTCCTGGTGAAGCAGCACGCCACGATGCTGAGACAGCGAAATAAGCACCACTGAGCTCTTGCTGCGGTCATTGAAGAGGACGTCACGCTCAGTCACTAAAAACATCCCATCTATGCTTTTAAAAAGTGGCTTTGGTCTCCACAGACTTCCTCTTAAAACTAAAATACGGTTCTGGCTGCTGACAGCCAGGCCGAGGTGTCAGGTGGCAGAAAAAAAGAAAAAGAAAGTGCAGGCTAACTCTTGCTTTATAAAAGATAAGAGCCACAAATTTAATCTTTTCCCCCTTTTCCCTTTTTATATTGTAAATACTTTAACTATAAAAACCTTCCTCCTTTTGATGGCAACAACTTTATTTCTATAGCACATTTCATTACATATAAACTCAGTGGGCTTAACACATAAAAACACAAAGATGTGTGTGGGTTTGCTGCCTCGAGGCAGGGAAGACAGCCAAACAAAACAACAGCACTTGTCCATGAATACAGATGTTTCCTGAGTCCAGATTACAGTGGTAGCGTGCACGGACAATACTAGGCATGTTATGTTACTAACTTGTTGCTGTTTTATCTGTTAATCTGTTAAGGATCTCAAGTTTAATTCCAGGAGGAGACAAATCCAGCCTCAGGTGGTCACGAGGTAATGCCGGTCCCAAGTCTGGATCAGTGGGAGGGTTGCCAAATTATTTCCTTGGGTAAATAAAGGGAGCAGCTGAAAGTACCTAACACCCTGAGTGACACAACTTGGTTTAATGAGTATCACTGTGTTAGTACAGATGGGAGTAAAGCCGTTTAAAACAAGAAGCACTCTCAGAGCACAAACGTCCACCAAGGTGTCTCACTCTCTGGGCAGTATTTACTTTTACAGGAACAGTATTGTATTTTGTACATTGTCCATCCTGTTTTCTGTTCTTTTTAAACATACTTCAAGAGGTTTGCAGTGCAGTAAAAACAAGTACAAAGTGTGGACTTTTGTTATTTCCCCATTAGTCTACTTTCCATAATTTTGTGTATACTTATTTTTTTATTTATGTATATGTTACATGTGTCATGCTCATTTTGCAGTTATTAAAATTCAATTGCATATTTGGCAGAAATATCAAGTGAAAAAAGTTTTTGAGGACAAGTTTGTTTTCCCCAAAAAAATTCTTATTGGGGAACCCTGTACACATCAAAGTGTTATGTATTTAAACGGTTAAAACCTGTTACTGTACACAATAACATCATAATAAAATAAATAAACTATATTCACAGAGCATCACATATGAACATGTTCTTATCAGTTTGAACACTTGATGTCATTTTAAATAATTCTATATAGGATTATCATCACTTTGACCTTCAGATCAATCTACTGAAGGAGAGGTCAGAGGTCAAATGTAACATGGTGTTTTAAACCATTATATGGTACTTGCTATATGCTGACAATACACACCACACTCACAAGAATTATAGTTGCTAAATTATAAGGCTTTTTTTTTTCAATGTAGGTAAAAAAAAAAAAGTCTTCGTTAAATCGGTATATTCGAGCCGTGTGAAGGCTTACTAGATCCATGACGATTTTTTTAACTTTGTGTAACATCTTTGCATTGTTGTTTTTATGCATGTTTTGTTATATTTATGTTTTGCAGACATGTGACCACTAACCACATGAGCTTAACTTGTCAGCCATTCTAGAGCCAAGTGAATAAAACCTTAGTCATACTGGTGGTTGATCAGCTGCCAATCACCAGTCGTGAGGGGAAAAAAAGTATCCCAGACTGGTTGGCAAAAGCCCGTGCCCTTTGGTAGAATATTGCTGAGGTGGTAGTTTGAATGGAAGTGATAGACTTGTCTATAAACACTGTCCAGCTACTCAGAGCTGTAGTGAAAAGTGGGATAATAATCTGGAGACCATTTGCCTTCACAGTAAAAGCTTTCTTTTGAAACATGTTGGAGCTCTAAGGCACAATTTATACCTTGAAGGCAAACTTTCACCATTTCCAGTTGCGTCACACTTTTTTTTTTTTTTTAGGTTTTACTACCCCTAATACTTAGCAGATGTTTGAAGACAAACGTGGAAAACTACAGGCAACCAGGTAGTAATCAACGCAATCAGTAGGTGGTTTTTGGTGCAGCACCTTCTTTGTAACCTCCAGAACCACCGCCAAACAGTCGGGGAAAACACATTTTTCTCTAGTAATGGTTATATCCCACCCAATATGGTGGAAAACACCTGAGCAATGTGTGCATAATGTCACAGGAGAAACCTCTATATCTGTGTACTGCATGTCCGGAGCAGCTGGCCTGCTTGCATCTTTTTTGCTGATGTCCCTTAATGTGCACTGTCCCTCTTAAATAAACAAATAAATATAGATACCAAAAGCTAAATAAATAAACTTATTCCCATGGAAGATGAATGAAAAACTTATATCAGAGCTTTTTACCACTTTAACTGTATTGAATGTTTTTGACATGTTAATCAAAAGCATTTAAACTATTCATCAAAAGGAAGCAGGCTCATTCTTTTATTTCTCCTAACATCTTGGGTGTGGTGCGGATTTATGCAGGTTACGGATACAATTTGTTGTACATAAGGAATGTTTGCACATACACTTGTAGAGTAAAACAAAATATGTTGAAAGTATGGCGGTCACGGTCACTCAAAGACTTTAACTGTGGCCTCACTGTGTCCTTTAATATTGACTGTGCATGTTTTTCTCCAATTTGATCAAAATCTTTGTGCACATTTTAGCCATATTTGCATTTGACATCACAGAGATCCTTAAAATGAAGTTAACAGCCCAGTATGTTATCTGCTTGCAACACATGTGTAACACCCTTGCAAGCCTTGGCAAGCTGAAGAAACCATGCCCAAAGGTACATGAGAGGGTTATGGAGAAACGTCAGGCTCTTATTTTTTTGCCAGTTTTGGGTGAGTTGATTAATTTGATGTAAAACTGGGAAAATTTATTATTATTATTGAATAATATTGTTAATGTGTGTGTTGTTTTTTCCAGCTGTGGCAAGTTTCCTCGTCAAGATAAGTAAGTGTGTTAACTGGGTGCTTAAGATATGTGGCTAAGATGACAGAGATCTTCACACTTTTCAGATGTTTGCTTCTTAAAAATACTTTCAGAAACAAGGTTACAGTAATGTGGACAGTCAGTGTTCGAACAAAAACAACAAGAAAGTTGATATTTTCTTTAGATTTTAAAGTTTTATTGTTCACTTTAATGAAAAGCATTCAATAATGTCTGATGTGTTTCATTTTGTATCAGTCAGCATAGTGGTGCTGTGGTTATCCCTGCTGTTTCACAGCATAAAACTTCTAATGTGTCTTTGTTTTCCCTGTGTCTGCTGGCTGTAATTACAGATATCAGTCAGTAGTCGGTAATACCAGGAAAACCACTTTTCAAATTCTATAAAGCAAAATGGCTTAATGAGTGTCCTGTATGTGATTTAGGACCTTTTTATTATTATTGATGTACAAAATTGCCAACAGCAGTTAAAGACTGGTCCCTGTAAGGTGCAAATCACCATTGCTGGGGTTGTTACTAAAAGAAAAGTAATAGATTACATATTACTCTTAATTTTAAAGAAATGAATGTTTTTTGTAATTGAATTTTGCCTAACATGGCCTGAAAAGCTTTTGTGATTCCACAAAGTGCTGTAAACATCCCTCTGAGATTTTGGTCCATTTTGACATGATATCATCACACAGTTGCCTCAGATAATCTGAATCTCTTCTAACATCACCTCTCAAAGGTTGTATTTACGTGATTTCTTGATGCAGCAGGTCTGCCAGTAATCAGGCCTGGGTGTGGCTAGTGAAAATGAAATCAGCTTTTAAAAATTCCCAAATAATTCATGATTTAACAAGCGGGGGAAATTACCTTTCCAGATAGGTCCAGGTAGGTTTGGAGAGCTTTTGCATTTACTTCTTAGTTTAACATTAAAAATGTTTTTGATTATCTGAAACTTTAAAGAGTGACGAATATTTAAAAAAACAAAACAAAACTAAGAAATCAGGAAGGGGGAAAAAAAATTCCACATACATATCAAAGGTATCTATAATTTTGTACCAGTGTCATACTAACATTACAGCCTGGGAAAAACAGTTCAAATAAATCATTAAAAGTCCAATAATACAATGAAATCTTCCTTCAGTCACTACACACAGCTTAAGGTCACAGGTGAGGGTAGCAACATAGACTGAACGGTACTTAGCCGGTGTTATTGAGCATAGTTTTAAATCTTTTTATAGTTTCAAGTTTGCATGCACAGTTGTTTCATTTGCTTCTTTAGGTGGATCAAGCTCTTTTCGCCCGGTGCTGACTGGTCCTGACCTGGCCTTCAGTGGCCCGAGGGTGGTTTTCCGTTGTGTTGCATCTAACGTCTCCCCACCAGTCGTCTATGAGCTGATAAAGGATGGACGTGTGCGAATTGGCCGCAATAGAGATTTTCAAGGTGGCCAAGTTGCATCATTCCCTATCAAAGTAACTGCAGCGTCAGAAGGGTCATACCACTGCAGGGCCACAGCTGGAGGAACCACAGAAATCAGCAACAGCATTAAGCTGAGAGTAGTCAGTGAGTATCGGATGTTGGGTAGTTTATTAAAGCTTACTCAACTGACTTTCCCCTTTTCTTCACCAACTGTCTTTTATTCCCTGATTTCCAGCTCCACCATCATATACCAGAGTGACCTCTGAACCCTTCCCCCCAGTTGCATACGAGGGGTCACGCATGGCCCTGAGTTGTGACGCTGAAAGGGGGTCCAACCTTTCCTACAGCTGGTTTTTTAACCGGAAGGAAATAACATCTTCGACTTCTCTCCCCTTCCACTTTGTGGAAAACAAGCTGCTGGTGGAGAGGGTAACTCCTGAGTATGCTGGAAATTATTCTTGCACTGCTTGGTCCAGCGTGAATGAGATCAAAAGGATTTCCAGCAGCACAGAGGTCCAGGTGACAATCAAAGGTACATATTAACAGAATTTACAAAGTTTATAAATACTACGTTTGCTACTTGGCGCTATCAGCCAGTTTAGTTCAGAAATATCTCATGAACTACTGAATAGATTTGCATGCAATTAGGTCCATTGTAATGTTCCCAGAGGGCATTTTTAATGAGTTTTCATTAGCACTGAGGGATTGATATTTTTTCCATTTCAGTGAAGTTAAAAAAACTCTTCCTCCTTCCTCCTGCACCAGTCTATGTTTCAAAGCCAGAGATCTCCTTCTCCGTTCATAAAGAGGGAACCAGTTACCATGGCAATGTGACGTGCTGGTCAACAAGAGGGAGCCCTCCGGTGAACTTGTATCTTTTACTAGACGGTAAAGAAGTGGACTCCGTCACAGCAGCTCAGACCCCGGCTGCCTGGTTCCTTGTAGTCGTAGTCCCCGAGCTGGACATGGGAGAGGCACGATGCCGGGTGAAAACCGAGAATCAGGACCTCACAAGTGAGCCTGTGAACCTGGAAGTAGGTATGAAGATGTGTGAATGATCTCGGTCTTTACCATAGACTGTAGATGGATGCAACCAATGCAAAAGTGACTTAAAGGTGCATTCTTTCTCCTGTTGCCCATTAGAGATGCTTACATTACAATACAATATGAAGTTCAATGTGTAAACGATTCAGATCGGGGGATTATCTAGGATTTCCATCGTGATTTGTCACTATTTAAATAAAACTGAACTGAATTGAAGTTGCGTTCAGTAAGTGTTGATGCAGAAAAGGATCCAAAACAAAAGACTGACCGTTATTTAGTTGAGGTTTATGAAAATCCACAACAGAGAATCAACTAATGAATCCAAATGTCTGAAAAAGTCATAAAGCATAATCAGCAGGGAGAACTGAACTGAACAGGCCGACAAAGGGAGGCAGCGACTACATCCACAAAGAGGTGAGAGACACCTGGAAGAGACAGAGAAGTAAAACTAAATACTAAACACACAGACGCTGCCAAAATAAAACAGGAAGTAACTAAAACATAAACACGGCTCCCACAGACCAAGAATTAACAACAAGACATGGGAACAAACTGAAAACTCAACCTATGAAAAAATTAAAAAGCTCAAACACATAATAAAAAAAACGAAACTAGAATTACAAGAATAGAGAAAATCACAAAGAGGAAAACTCTTAAGTAAGGACAGACACAGGACCAAGACAAGTAGACTCAAACCTAAGAGCACAAATTCATGAGGAAAGCGTCGTTTTTCTAGACTTGTTTTTGCAACCAGACGAAACGCCCCCTGCTGGCCATTAGAAAGACTGCATGTTTAAGACACCTCTGCATTGATATGTTTTACATGAAGTCTATATTTTATGTGAGATTTGTGACCCTCTCTTCCTTCTTCTTTGTCTGTCAAGTTCCAGTTGGAGGAAATGTGAAAGTGGAGGTGGAATATCTGTACACAGCTGATTCCAAACTGACTACAGCAAGGCTGAGCTGTCACGTCAGCAGAGGAACTTTTCCTTACATCTCCTGGCTCTTCAATGACTCTGTCCTTCCCTCTGAGTCTCATCCGGATTCCCACACTCATCCCATCCTGCCTCACATTGCCTTCGCTGACCGAAGACGATCCCTCATCCTCACTAAGCTCAGCCCTGAGGAGTCTGGGTATTACCGCTGCAGGGCCAGGGACAGCTACGATGACTCTGGGCCCTGGGTGGAGAGTGCAGCTGAGCTGGTCCAAGTCACAGGTGAAAGACCAGGACTAAGAGAGGAGTAAAACTTGTGGAGTATTAATTTTGGGAAGTATACTAACTTGCTTTATTATTGAGGTTTATAAACTCCATGTAATGGTTCTCTGCAAGAAAACATACAGTACCAATTGAAATAAGCAGTCATGATAGATCATTTCCACCTTAAGACCGTCCCTTGAATCTTTATGCCACAGTCCAGACATGAGTGTGGTATTGAGCTTTTTGTCTAGCTCTCTCCAAGAAGGCCAAATTATGCTTTAAAAAGGATTTCTGTTCAACCCAGGCTTTTGTTCACATGCATCATTTAATATAAATGTGTCTTCCTGTGGGTTTCTGCACTTTTTATGCCTTCAGTCAACTCCATGTCTCAAGCAGCGTCCTCAACCGAAACGCCACCAAGTCAAAGTAAAAATATTTTGTTTGTTTTATTAATCTTATTTCTGCACAAAAGTTTGGGGTCATGCAAAAAAAAAAACAACTAAATATTTTAAAATATTTGTATTTATTAAATGAAAGTGCAGAGTGATGAAAAATACAGTCGATTAAATAATGAATTTGAAGTTATTTTGCCCTTTAAATTCTACTTTTGTCCAAGGAGTAGAGTTACAGCATTGCAGTCTTCATTGATTGTCAGTAATTCATTTTTTTGAATTCTTTAATTTTCTTTTTTTTCCACCCTTTTTTTGTGTCTAAAGTCTTGATTTTTGTGATTATAGTTAGGATTCCTGTTATGCTTCCTTTGTTATTCTAGTGTATTACAAATCTTAGGTCTGGTTTTGTTTTAGTTTTGTTTGTTTTGTTTTTAGTAATAAGTTTTGGTTTGTGATTTCTTGCATTTGGGATTAAAAGAGGATGCTAGGGATAGGGTGAGATGGTGGCAGAACCCTACAGGGAGCAGCTGAAAGAAGAAGAAGAAGAAAAGAGGGTTCTTGTTTATCATGATAGCCCCCCTTGTGCTTCCTGGTCTGTGTCATCTTGTTAGTAGTAGGTGTTAGTATTCATGCCTGTCAGTCTCTTTGGGTTATTCTCTGCTTTTACTTTGAAGGATGTTTTCTCCTGTGCCCTGTGTCAGCATTGTTTCCTGTCTGTCTTCTTTTGAGTCCTCATTATTCTCACCTGTTGTCAGTTGTGTTCACCTGTGCCCCCCACCCCCACGTAGCTCTGCCTGTCTTTGTGACATAACCTGCTTTGGCTGTTTAGCATTAGTGAAACTTCCTGTTCTGATCCTAGTGCAGTCTCTATCGCGATCTTCTGCTCTCACCCCCTTTTTTTTCAGATTTTGAGTTTTTTGCATTGCACTTTTTAAAAGAAAGTGAATTTCAGCGGGCTTTTTGTTTGTGAACTCCATTGTACACGAAGCACCACCTACAAGTGAGACTGGTTTCATGGGTACTGAATAGATGCAAAAACATCACCTCAATAGACAAAAACAGATGTGTTTGGTGGCCAAGCCAGACATACAACCAGCTGTTTCTTTCTTACATAATTCTTGCATATTTTGGATCTGTGCTGATTGACCTGTTGTACGAGGAAGCTGGCTCCCGACAAGAGCGATCCTAAACGTCTGTCAGCTAAATCCATTTTAATCTGCACAAATCGTATATTTACCTCCACATCATACCCCAAACCAGAACATTTCCTCCATGAGGCTTGACAGATTTGTTCTGTTTTACACAAATTTTCTTCTTTTTAATCCAAACATATTTGGACATCTGTAGCAATTTTGCAGCTCGAGGTTTGTGGGAAACATTTGATAAAGGGAGACAATGAGGTGTTTGTGTCTCTGTCAGGAGACTCTTTGTATTCTTGCTCAGTCCTGCAAGTTTCCAGCATTGAATGTTCTTCCTTTGTTAGAATAGCCTTTGGCCTTTTTAATGAAAACAAAATTGCGTAAAAATGTAACTGTCATTTAAAAGTCATTAATGATTGATTGATAACGTTTTATTGCTTATTGCTTGTCATTTGCAACATTTCTGGTACAGTTTATACTATTTTATTTCAAAACAAATATGCAGTTCATTCAAACTTGTAGATGTCACAGGTGACCCTAAACTTTTGTGCAGCAGTGTGTGCGCTGCCTCAGAGTGTGAAACTGTCTTCGTCTCATCTCTTTCAGGTTTTTGCATGAACATCACAGAAGCTGTCACCATCGCATTCTGCTGCTTCGTTCTCCTCATGCTAGCAGTGGGTTCAGCCTGCGTGTACAAGATGTTTGAAAACAAGCAAGGTGTGTGTGAGAACCAGGAATCCACTGATTGGTACACACGCAGGAATTCCTATTAAAACTTCTTGTCTTCTTGTCATCTTATCTGTTGTTCCAGCTCATACCAACAGTGTTCCAGCAAAGTAAGTTTTACACCTGAAACACTCCAACTATAACTAAGTGTGATCATCTTATATTTACATAACACTTTAAAGCCTGAAAAATGAAATAATGCAAGAAAATTCTTTTTTTAATGGAGTATTTAGCGAACTTTCTGATGAAGTAAAAAAAAAAAAAATTAAATACTAATTTGCATATAAGAGTTGTAGTTTGTATCATATTTGCTACATGTGGTATTGTTCTGCAGTTTATTCCTTAAAAATGTATCATGCAATTCATTGCAGTGTATTTGGGGGGGGGCAGATAATAGTAACAAATATTTTTATTTATTGTTTTATTCATGAAACACTTTAAAGAAAGAATTTACATGACAACCCAGCAGCTAAATTGATTAAGTAAAAATAAGTAAAAATCTGGAAAGAGAATAACAAAAAAAGACAGAAAACACAAACGATGAAACAGAAAATAATAAAAACAGCTGAAATACAGTAACCTTACAATGAAATACTGAGACATAATCACATTAAAGCAAGTCTGTATGCTTTAAAAAAAAATATATTCAAATGTCACTGAGCTTTACCTCCATAGGTAAGCTGTTACAGTCAAAGCATCTTGGAGTTTGACTTCATTTCTGAAGAGTCAGACGGGTTCGATTCAGCTGTAAAGTGGCTCAATTTTTTTAAATGACCTGAACCGAATGTGCTTTAAAAGGGATCAGCACAGAGTTGAGCTTATTGCTTATTGCTTGGAAACTTTCAAAGTTTATGCTTTTCGGTGGAATATAGATATTCTGGCCTTTCAAAATATTTTAACCACGAACGGGCTCATATCTAAAATATCTGGACTTTGATATGGCTCTTTTGTTGTTGTGTTATTATTTGCATGTGCATTCTTTACATATTTGCTTTTTTAAACTGTTTAACGCTAAGGAAGGATTGTTTGTTAGTTACATCATCCTCTTCATAAATGTTTGTGCCATCTCACCCCAGCTCTGATGCACTCCAGTCTGAACTGACGTCCCAGTCAGGGGGAAATATGGCTGATACTACTGCTACAGATTACGATGTTCAAAATCAGGTATGCAAGCAAAAACTATAATACTACTATTCAGGATCAGTGAAATGTTAGAGTCCAGTCACACTCTTAATGTCCCTTTCTTTCCTATAATTAAGAAATAAGTATATGTAAATTCACTGAAGGATTTCTGTAAAGAACTACTGCATTTGGTACATAAAACAAGGAACACATTTTTCCTCCACTTTCCTTAGTGTGTCAGTTTTCCTGTCCTGAGCACAAATTCTATATTTTTCTCAGGGGGATATTTTTGGAATCTGCTAGGAAATCACACATGCTTGAACAAACTGATAAGAAATAATCAGTGTACAGGACACATAAATATATAGCATAAGCTTTCAGACTCAAACTATGTAAACTACATGAAGATGCCAAACCCACAGACTAGTGAGCTGCACCTTTTGTTCCTAACTGTAACAAAACATTAATTTATTTGTCAGTTCTTAACCTCTACACCATAACCTCCACACTGGCATTTGCCAAAAAAAATGATTGAGGGAATTTAAGCTGTTATAAATGGCTTTTTGACCTAAAATCTGTCAAAAATAGGTGAGTCATACCACTATATATATCGATCACATCAAGTAATTTAGAGCCAGAAAGAGCATTCCTATCAAAAAGCAGCTGCTGCAACCAGACTTTTACAGTATATATCCTTTATTTATCCAGGTAAAAAGTGTCATTGACATTAAAAATGTGTTTTTCAAGAGAGATCTAGCCGAGGAGGCAGCAGAAACTGTAACAAATATAACATCACAGTTCTAAAAAATTACTGGAAGTAAACAAGAAGGACAGGATTGATGACAATATTGGCACAAATATGCAGAGTCATAAAATACTTCAAAAACAAGTCATTTCCTTGTTTTACGTATAAATCCTTCATAAATCCTGTTCACTACAGTCTATTTACTAAAATAAGTGACGATATTAGACGTTAAAAAAAAACAAAAAAAAACACAGAAAGACATTGGAAATCACTTTTTGGCACAACACCAGTGTCCTGCATAACTACTGGTATGTGTGCTTGTGCCCTGATGTTTCATGTGTGGTGCCAGCTAATAACAAAAACAGTTCCTGAGGGTCCTCGCTCTCTGTTGTTCGTGTGTTTGTGTGTTTAGATGTGTGACTGCACAAAGGCACTTATTTTGAACTGTCAGTCATGCAAAACAGTTTTTTCTGGATCCAAGAATTTAAAAAAAAGTGAGCAGAAAAAGTTGCATTTAAGCCAAAATCAGCTCCCTTAGATGTGATTGTAACATATTTCTCTCTCTCTTTCAGATCACTGAGGTCACAGTATGATGCACAAGACTCCTTCACCTCCTAATACAATATTTAATTTTAAATGTTTATATTATGTTCATATTTAATGTTCTTGGGTTACTGAACTTTCTACATGGCACTGTTGGAACATTCAGTTATAGACAAGTGCGAAATTGCATTGCCTACCTCCTGTATACTGTTATTTTGATGCAAATAAATTTTTAATGATTAGATTACTTTTTGTTTCTGGTGTTTTTGCTTTTTTTTTTTTAAATTAAAATAATGCAAAAACACATCACAACACTTACTTTCAGTTTTACTTTACACTGTGTTTCACGTGATATTCATAGCAAACAACACCAGTTAATTAGCTGATATGACAGAGGCACGGAGCAGGGAGGTCCAGAGTAACACTATCAGTTATTTGCACATGTTTCTAAGAGGGTGTGTGCGTACTTATCCACATGCATTGCCTAAACACACAGTTTAAAACTGACAACTGTCACACTTGTGTCTGACAGCAGCTCCCTGTAATAATTTTCAAGGACTAATGTTGTATTAAAGTCTGTTGTTTTTCCAGAAGATGCTTACTTCCTTCTTTGTGGTCATTCTGGGTAAGCAACACAAAGGGAACCACAGTAAACTTAATATTTCGCAATGTTAAAATCTTCCAATCTCTTTAGTTTCTTTCTCGTTTTTTCATCCCTGCAGGGTTGTGCTGCTGCTTTAAGGAAAGCAGTAAGTGAGCGT